TTTTTTTTTTTTGTTTTACTTTCAAAGTATATTTTTTCATCTATTTATTTTGCAATGATTTGTGAAAACGTTTTGACAGGAAGAAAAAAGAAGAAAAAAACAAAAAAACAAGGGCAATAAAGGAGTTGAAAGGAAAAAGGTACAAAAAAGTTTCATTTTATTCTTCGTTTTTTTTTTTTTAAATTTTTTCTTTTGCTTTTCAATTTTCTGAAGAAATAAACATTGGAAGCATACCGGCACTACCGTTTATGTAAATTTTTAAATCGAAATGGCGAGGGAGGAATTTTGTCAAATTTTTGTTTTGTTTTCGCCAATCTTTTCCTATTCGTTTTCTACCGTTTACTTTATCACCATCATCATCGTAATCATATCAAAATTTTAGAAACTGAAAAGAAAAAGAAGAACAAAAATAAATTTGAAAGCGACAAAGAAAACCAGCTTAAAATTTAATACAAGAAAAAAAAAATTACAAATACTTTTAATAGCAAACCACATTTCAATACGCTCAAATTGATGTCGATGTTCAGGGCAGAAAATTGTTAAACACGGAACTTGCTGTATCAGTGAACAAATAAGCTGAAAAGAAAGTTCGGAGAACGCATAGACTGACATCAGTTTAAAACCGATCACTTTTCATTTGGAAAAAAAAAAGCTTCAACAGCAAACAGTTACCGTTCTAACAGAAATGGACGGCAATTATTGACTTAAAAAACTGGATAAAAAAATTTCTTTTGTAGTTTCTAGCTTCGTTTAACAGAAAGAAAAGGGAAAAGCAGTTTCCTTCAGCAACTAATGAATGGGTTTTTTTTTTCTCTCTCTGCTGAGTTCTCTGGTCTTACTGCTGTTGTTAATGTAGTTGAAAATTATTACGGTTCAGCAAAAAGTCAAAGCAAGCTGGAAAAAAATTGGATTACAATCTTGAATAAAATAGATTGATCCTTTAATCGGCCAATAAGATGTTATTGCTTTCTTTCTCTTTGAAGGGAATTTTAAAAAAATATCAGTTTCTTTTGTCATTAGTCGTATTTAAACATTATGGGCTGATCAGGGGAACTTTTTGTTCCACATTTTTGATTGCATTTCCAACTTAGCTTGAGCTGGAAAAATTGAATTCTCTAGTTTGATATAAAGGAAAGCGTGTTAGCGATGATTAAGCGCACAGTCCATTCGGCTCTACCATAATTTTTCTTTTTTTGCTGTTGTTGTTGATAGCATATTTGATGAATATGAATGCCGTGTTGGGATAAATCAAAGGTTACCAAATTGTATTAAGTTTTAGACATTAGAACTGCTGGAATACTGTAAGTTAATACAAAGTTTTCTGATTGTCATCAATTTTTTTAA